GGTGCATGTGGCACCCCATGGGTCTCCCGGAGGTGCACACGGCACCCCATGCGTCTCCTGGGGGTCTCCCGGAGGTGCATGTGGCACCCCATGGGTCTCCCGGGGGTGCACGTGGCACCCCATGGGTCTCTCGAGGGTGCACGTGGCACCCCATGGGTCTCTCGAGGGTGCACGTGGCCCCCCCGTTAGTCTCCCAGGGGCGCATGCGGCATCCCATGGGTCTCCCATAAGTGCACATGGCCCCCCATGGGTCTCCCATGGGTGCACGCAGCACCCCATGGGTCTCCCATGGGTGCATGTGGCCCCCCAGGGGTCTCCTGTGGGTGCACGTGGGGTGCACACAGCACCCCGTGGGTCTCCCAGAGGTGCACGTGACCCCCCATGAGTCTCCTGTGGGTGCACGTGGGGTGCACACAGCACCCCGTGGGTCTCCCAGAGGTGCACGTGACCCCCCATGAGTCTCCCAGAGGTGCATGTGGCCCCCTCATGGGTCTCCCATGGGTGCACGTGTCACCCCATGGGTGTCCCAGGGGTGCACGGCCGAGCTCACCCACACTCTCCCCCCCCACACCCCGCAGTGAAGCAGGAGTGGCATTTCCAGGACAAGGAGACCCAGTTTTACCGCTTTGCCGAACTGGAGTTGAGCCCTGAGCCCGGCGCCGGGCTCCGGGATGCGGAGGAGCTGCTGGAGGCATTGGCCTTCCTGGCCCAGCTGGGTCCCGACGCGCTGCTCACCATGGCCCTGCGCAAGCCGTGAGTGGCCGGGTGCTCCCCCGGGGCCGGTGGGGTGTTGGGGGGGGACGTGGGGCTCGTTTTGACCCTGCTCCCTGGGATTCTGGGCTACCAGAGGGGTTGCTGTGGATGGGGCAACCCAAGCATCTCTTCCACGGCTGTCAGACCGTGCTTGGCCAGGGGGTTGTGCCCGGACGGGGGTGTCTGCGCCCCGATGGCGGGGAATGGGGACACGGACACCCCCCTCTCCCCTCCCAGGCCTGCCCAGCGCACAGAGGACGAGCTGGAGCTCATATTTGAGGAGCTCCTGCACATCTATGCTGTGGCTCATCTCTCCAACTCGGTGCGTGCGGCTGCGCCCTTGCTTCCCACCGCGACGCGCGCGTCCCCCAAGACCGCTCCTGGTCCGCAGATCCTCCTGCGTCCCATCGCTTCCCATCCAGGCACCCTCTCCTGGTGCATCTGAGCATCCCTTCCCACCCCATCCCGCCTCCCTGTGTGTGTCCCCTCCTCGCTGGGCGCCGGGGTTGGGGTGACCCTCATGGGAGGTGCCTCTTGGCGCAGGTGAAGCGGGAGCTGGCGTCGGTGCTGATGTTCGAGTCGCACCAGAGAGCAGGCACCGTGCGTGAGTATCGCGTGCCCCCCGGAGCCGCGCGGGGCTGGCCGGTCCCCAGGGAAAGGGTCCTGAGCCATGGGGAGGGCAGCTGGAGCCATCGTCACCGATGTAGATGCTCCTGCTGTGTCTTCATGGACCAGGGATGGAGGGGACGGGAGCACTCGATGCGTTTGCCCGGGCTGGGGGCTCAAGATGCCCCCATCCTGATGCTGGAGAAGGGGGGTGTTCGGGGGCTCCCCCTCTTCCGCTGCTGGACGCCGCCGTTCCCCCCGCAGTGTTCAGCCAAGGGGATAAAGGCACGTCGTGGTACATCATCTGGAAGGGCTCGGTGAACGTGGTCACCCACGGCAAGGTAGCTGCGTCCCCACGGTGGCAGCAGGTCCCTCCTCCAGATGCCCCACATTCCCGGCCCCCAACGGGGACAAGGCCTCCCACCCCAGCCCTCACGCTCCATGCCCCCCCCTCCCTGCCAGGGTTTGGTGGCCACCCTGCATGAGGGG